TCTCTCTCTCTCTCTCTTTAAAAAAAATAGAAGCATCATTAAGGTTCTGTCTGTAACCTATTAAGGAACACATAATAAATGTTTATACAGAATAACCATATTCTCATAAAAAATGGGTAAACATTTTCATTGATATGATCTACTAATTCTGATATCAGAGACTCCATATATTGATATTATGTTTATTAGACTCAGTTGAGTTTACAAGATAATGACATATATTGAAATCCCCTGGAAGAGGTCACATATCCCTGGGTGGTTAGGGCTGTACTTGGAAAGGGTACAGGCTTGTTCACCAGTACTTCATGATCCCTTTTGGGTTTAAGGATTTTCTTCTTTTTTGTGACAGTTGTTTGCAATCCATTTGAGACTCTCTCCACTTCCTGTATCTCAAGTCCATTATTAATGCATTCAAAATAAATGAAAAGTCTTCTAGTAATTTCTCCCTGCTAGGGATCTATTTCAAGAGATCCCTTGAGCCTTCTGACATCTCTGTTGACCTCAGTGCACAAGTCAAAAGAATCTAGTCACGAAGCATTCTGGGCACAACTCTCGTCCCTCATATCCGCAGAACAGTCTCACATGGGGTACAGTAGAGCTGTCCCATGAAGTTCACTCCCTGTGGACTTTCTATGTACCTGAGTGTTTAGAGATTCAGGGGGCTGAAAATGCTTGGGAATGTACTCTAGTGTCATTAAGTATTGTCAAGGTTAGAAAATCAGTGCAGTCTCCTTGCTCTTTCATGACACAGAGGAACCAGCTCTCTTCTTGAGAATCCTGTTTGTACACTTCACGCTGCACAAAAACAGCTCTCCATTAAATTGAAAGCTGAAAATGTAACATATTTTGGAGTAGATCTAGCAACACTTAAAATTTGAGAGTGTCAGGGGGTGAGGAAACTTTGTTGAATTCAGTGCCCTCTTCAGATTATTTTCAACTACTATATAAAATACTTTGGTATACTTTCTCTACTAGGGCTAATTTTAACTGTATAGCTTACTCTCCTGTGTTTCGTGTAACAATAATGAAGTTTATATTTATTAAATTTTTATATCCATAAACATGGACTTTCAAGAAAGTATTATTTCAAATATCTGAGTTAGGAAAAGAGAGAACAAGAGCCAGAAGAATAAAAGGAGTGGGTAGTGGAGTTACTTATTCCTCATTCTGTTAAAACCTGTGTTTTATTAAAAGCCTACAGTAGGGGTTGGGGTTGTGGCTCAGTGGTAAAGTGCTCATCTAGCATGGGTGAGGCATGAGGTGCAGCACCACATAAAAATAAAGGCATTGTGCCTACCTACAACTAAAAAATAATAAATAAATACATAAAGCCTACTGTGATGGTCAGGCTCAGTGACACACGACCGTAACTCTAGCAACTCAAGATCCTGAGGCAGGAGGATTGAAAGTTGGAGACTAGTCTGGGCAACTTAGTGAGAACCTGTCTCAAAATATAAATGACTAGAGATATAGTTCAAAGGTAGATAGTAGCCTAGCATGTGAAAGGCCCTGGGTTCAATTCCCAGTACTGGAAAAAGAAAAAAAAAAGTGTGTGGGGGGGATTAATTAATTCTCAAAAGAACCAAGTAGAAATTCTGGAGCTAAAATGAGATAGGAAACTCATTAAGGGGTTATAACCACAGGTTTGAAAAGGCATGAGAAATAATTAGCAAACTTAAATGTAAGATGATTGGAATCATGAAGTCAGAGAGATATAAAAAGAAAGGATTGACACAAAAGTACCTGTGGATACCATCAGGAAGGTCCACAAACAGTAGAGACTAGACAGAGAAAAGAAAGAAGGAACAGAAAGACTATATGAAGCTGGGTGTGGTGGTCTACACCTGTAATCCCAGTGACTCAGGAGGCTGAGGCAGGAGGTTCTCAAGTTCGAGGCCAGCCTCAGCAACTTAGTGAAGCCCCAAGCAACTTAGCATGACTCTGTTCTAAAAATTTAAAAAATAAAAAAATTAAATTCTCAAAATTTTTTTTCCAAAAAGAAGAGGAGGGTACACTTTCTAACACATTTTATGAAGCCAATATTACCCTGATACCCAGATAACAAAGGACTTGAAGAACACTTTATTAACTAAACTTAATGGATGTTTACAGAGCATTATATTAAATAAGAAAGAAAATTTTCAGACTAATATCTTTATAAATATACAGACAGGAATTTTAAAAACCCCTAGGAAATAAAGGCCAGCCACCTTTTGTACAGATTATATATATTGACCAAGTGGGATTTATCCTAGGAAAGAAAAGTGCTGTCTGCAAAAAATCAAGTTGTTGAGTGCAGTGGAGCTCTTCTCTATCCTAGTGACTCATGATGCTGAGACAGGAGGATTGCAGGTTTGAGACTAGCCTCAGCAACTTACCAAGACCTTGTCTCAAAATAAAAAACAAAAAGGTCTGAGATGTAACTCAGTGGTAAAGTATGTCTGAGTTCAATCCCCAGTACTGGGGGGGGGGGGGGAATAATATAACTCATTAACAAAATGAAGGGGGGAAACCCCATGATGGTTATCACAATTGATAAAATAATTTGACAAATTCTAACATACTTTCTTGATTGAAAAAAGAAGCACTCAACAAAATATTTAGGAACAAATTTATCCAAAGAAGTGCAAAATTTGTACACCAAAAAGTACAAAACAGGAACTTAGGGAGTACAGTTCAGTGGTAGAGCACTTGCCTAGCATGCATGAAACCCTGGTTCAACCCACAGCACTGAAGAAAAAAAAAAGAGTCTAAAAATATTACTGAAAGTAATAAAAAGGTCCTAATCAAATGGAAGGAAATTCAATGTTCAAAGATTGGAAGACTGAGTATTTTTAAAATAACAATTCTGCCCAAAGTGATACGCAGAGTCAACGCAATCCTTCTCAAAATCCTAATGGCCCTTTTTTGCAAAACTAGAAAAGCTGATCCACAAATACTTGCATAATTATAATGGGCCTAAATGTCAAAATAATCTTGAAAAATCCTTGAAAACATGGAGGGCTCACACTTTCTGGCTTCAACATTTACTACACAGACATAGTAAACAACATATCATGGAACTGGCATAAAGATAATATATGGGTCAATGGGATAGAATTATAGAACTGAGGCTCAATAAATAAATCTAAGATTCAATGGATGATTGATGTTCAGTGATGGTGCTAATACCATCCAACAAGAAAAGAATAGGCTTTCTTGACAAATGCAATTGGGATAACTAGATACTCATAAGCAAAAAAAAAAATTTAATTTGGATTTCTACATCACACACCTACAAAAATTCAACTCAAATGGATGAAAGACATAACTGTAAGAATTAATAACACTCCTGAACTCAGGGGAAAAGAATCCTTCATGAACCTCACTTTGGGCAGAGATTCTTAGATGTGAC